TCGATTGATTACACATTTAACTACGTTACAGCAGTATCAAGTTAGAAGTATTGGAATACAAATGAATATAGAGAAAGCTAATTATTGATTTCAAGTGGAGTAAGAATAAATTCACAAATTTATTAAATCAGAATATAAAGATATTGATATCAACGAATTTGAAAATATTATTGTAAAGAAATTAAGTCATAAGATATTAATAAATAAAAAATATAACAAAACTCGTACAGTATGATTCTCTGAATAGAAGAGTTCAATATTTTCTCCGCCTCAAATTACGTGTGAATATATTAACAAAAAAATAAATCAAATTGCGGGGTAAATAACCCATCTTACTCATGACTGCTTATTTATAAATTCAAAATATTTCTTTAAAATAAACTTATATATTATGAATAAAGAACAAAGAGATAGATTAAATAATCATTTCTTTGAAAATTTCTATTTCGCTGGTGAAAAATATTTTTTATCAGCTTGCACGACTCCTAATTCACAAGAGCAACAAAAAACTGCTCATGATGATATTCGTAATGCTGCAACGAATTTTCGTAAAGCCCTTATGGTTTTAAGCAATGCTCATTCTGATTTCGTGTCGCGTCATGAAGCAGTGCATTTAATGGATAAAGTGTGGGATAAATATGACCAATGTTGGGTTGGAAATAAAGAAAATGGTGGTAACATGGTAAATTTGACTGAAATGATTGAGGATGAAATAGATAAGAAACTTTTAAAGAAAGCTCAAAAGAAGGGTGTAGAGAGCATAAGTAATATCAAAGAGTTCAAATCAGAATTAAAGATGGAACATGTTGTTAATATGGTAATTAATTTCTTTCTAAGAATTGTGTCATTTTAAGAATTTCTTATTGGTTTTTTTTTCTGATCTCATTTATAGCAATGCGTTGTTGAAGATGATTATGACTTCATGGAACCACCTGATTTAAGTCTCTTGGTTAATTATTTAAACGATTGCGCTGTACACGATACGAACAATTCATCATCGTTTAAAGACAATAAAGTTGACACTGGCTATATCAATATTCCCCCAAAACGCGATATAAATAATCATTTAAGGGATGTACGGACAACCAACACTACTCTATCTGGATTTAACAGCAATGATATAATGGATATTGATAATGATCCTTTAAATATATATGACGGAAGATTTTCCAACGAGCAACATATCATAAGAGTATATATATCTTCTTTAATATTAACTTTATGCATAATATTTTTTGATAAACTAAACATGTTTTTCGATTAGGGTCCACAGCACTTAGAAAACCATAAAGTGAAAAAAAATGACACAATTCCAATGGATATAAATTATATAAATGATGACGATAATGACCAACATGATTGTTCTACGATTCAGCGTGGTTCTTTCATTACCGCAAGACAACAAATGGTATGATAATATTACAATAAATTACGATGTAATTCAATGATTATTTATATAAGGTGTATGCTATTTTGATGAATTACATAGATGATTGAAAAGCAGAAGAAAGGCCGTTTTTCCCCATCATATAATCAAGGTCAATCACATAGTAATTTTAATGATTTCGTTGACAAGCCGCACATACCAGGGGCCTATAAGAAAAGAGTCATTGGAACATCAAGTCAGACCACTAAAAAAGGAAGGTTTATATCTCCTTTATTGAAACGAAATGAAAGCCTCGGTGGTGATGAATCAAAAATGCACAAAAATGATTATTTGTACGTAATGATTCTTTGTAAATATTGCTAATATTTAAAAGACTTTTGTATGTTTGTTTATTCACAATTTTCTTGTATGATAAAATATAGTTCGTCTTTCGGGTCTAAGAGAGATAAAAATGATAGAAAACAAGATTACGATGCGGATAAAGAACAAGCAGTTGATAGTAGATTAAAAAATATTGACCCAAAAATGATCGAAATGATCCAAAATGAGGTCATATATTTATTGATGTTTGTTACTTGCAAAATCTATTCTAAACTTTTATCTCAATAGATCATGGATCGGACTCCCAAAATCTCTTGGGAAGATATCGCTGGATTAGAACATGCGAAAAAAACCATTCAAGAGGCCGTTACATGGCCTATGTTAAGACCGTTAGTATTGTTATACAGGCGTTATTTAATACTTTTAGAAAATAATGGCTAGATAACTGTTTTCTTTTTACTAGAGATATTTTTACAGGGTTAAGAGGCCCTCCTAAAGGTTTGTTCATGTTTACGATTTCTTGCAAATATAAAACGTAAATTAATTAAAAATATGTATATGTACAGGGTTATTACTTTTTGGACCTCCAGGGACCGGTAAGTTTGTAAATTAGTCTGTGGCATGAACTAAGAACCCGAACTTTCTATAAACTACAGTATAACATGAATATACAACAGGCAAAACCCTCATTGGCAAATGTATAGCCAGGTAATATATTGATGTTTGTATAAAGGTACAATATGCATTTATTAACATTCTACTGTTGTATTAAAGTCAATCAGGAGCAACGTTTTTCAGTATAAGGTTGGAAATCGCTATTTGCAACATTTATATCAAAATCTAGAAAAAAAATCTCTGATGATAATTTTCCAGTGCTTCATCCCTAACTTCGAAATGGGTTGGCGATGGTGAAAAAATGGTAATATATTGATACTAAATACGATTTATTTAATGATCCAAATTGTATCTAATATAATGGAAATTTTTTCGTAGGTTCGCGCTTTATTCTCTGTTGCAAGGGTAAATCAGCCCGCTGTAGTATTCGTAGATGAGGTAAGTGAGATGATTTGTTAATTTCATATTACATTTGTATCATCTACAGTATTCATGTTTATTTGAAAATTAGATCGATTCTTTACTGACCCAAAGGACTGATGGCGAATTTGAATCTTCAAGACGCATCAAAACTGAGTTTTTGGTTCAATTTGTGAGAGTTGTTTTTTTTTTTTTTTTTTTATTAGAATATATATAGGCAATTCATTATTCTGATTAAGAAATTTAGGATGGTGTGAAAACCGCTGGGTTAGAAGAGGATCGAATTCTTATTGTTGGAGCAACAAATAGGTAAGCAATGTTATTTTTATTATATTTTCGATCTAGCGCTCAACTATATTCACACTTTGTAAATAATTAAGGCCACAAGAAATTGATGAAGCTGCACGTAAGTTGCCTATTACGATTTGTTACTTCTCTATTAGTTCTCTTCAAAACAGTCATTTTTATTTTTTATTTCGCGCTAAAAGGACGTCGGTTTCGTAAAAGACTCTATATTCCTTTACCAGAATTAGATGGAAGATACTGTATTATAAAAAATTTATTACAGAAACAAAAACACTCATTGACTGATCAAGAAATTTATGAAATTTGCGAGAAAACTGCTGGTATTTTATATTTTTATTTTTTTTATGTCATGTACTCTAATCATGTATGTTATCTAACTATTATGTTATGATAGGATACTCTGGGTCAGATATGGATGGACTATGTAGAGGTAGATAAAAGTTTACTGAAATAAGCATTAATATTATTTCACACTTAAATATGTTTTTTTAATCAATCTTTTAGAAGCTGCATTGGGACCAATACGCGTAATCGGAGATATAAGAAACATTTCAGGTTCAACCTTTATAATCTAAATTTGGTATTACCGTTGACTACTGCTTACAGTATCCCCCAAATGATCTCCTCTATGATTAAGATCCGGGTATTACTCACCACTCCTATCGGCCTGTTCTTGAATAAGACTCGGGTACAATCATATTGGTTTACTACTTTTAATGTTAATATGATATATCACAAATATAGTTCACACAGTACCCATGAGCACTATTCAATTTGAAAATGGAGTTCTTGAATAAGACCTAGGTACTGTAAGCAGTGGCCAACGGTATTAATGCGAATTAAAAGTATTTACTCTCTAATCTACGTAAATAGCGGACGATGTACGACCAATAAATTACCAAGATTTTTTAAATGCATTGACACAAGGTACGTACAAATTTTTGGAACGAAATGATAAAAACTGATATTAATTTAGTAAAAACCGGGGACAATTGATAAAATTAATCATAAATTGTAGTTCGTGCAAGTGTTAGCGATCGTGACTTAGAACTATACCAAGTATGGAATCAAAACTATGGTAGTTTGTCATAAATATTATATAATATGTAGTAAATGTGTTGCCGACTCTAATTCAATTGAAATTTTAACTTTATGGATTCAAATAAAATGATTCTTAATTTTTATTAAAATTACATCCCTTTTTTTTGTATTAAATGCGAGGCTTTGCTTAATAATTTGTAAAAAATGGTTTGAATAAATTAATTTTACAAGAACAGAGTTTAGATTATAGACAAAAAATTAATTTATCTGTAACCTAAACCTATTAGAGTGGTTAAAATATTTATTTAAATTTAACAGTATAGTCAGACTTATCTAAATGCATGTCTTGAACCCAACTAATATAATACTTATTACTTCTTTACTTAGTTTTTACCAAGTGAACATCTAATTTTCTGATTTTTTTAGATTTACACAATTATAAAAACTTATCTTGGGTTTGCATTACCCAATACTGGCTTGTATATTTTTATATAATTTATGTATTACACAAATATTCTATAATCTTTTAATCTTGTTAATACAGTATATCTTCTCAAAACCAATTCAGTCAAAACTAATAACTTATCTGATAAAAAATTGATTCACTATTCTGTTCTATAATACAAATCTAATAACTTGTTATTTTTGATAATTGATACTTAAATAATCAGATATCTATAAAATATTGGGTTTGTTGAGTAATATAAATTAATTTAATTGGTTTATATTCTCGAATCAGATTGAATACAATTAAAATTGAATTTTTTGATTATGTGTCTACTAGTAAACAATAGCAATACACAATAATAGCAGCAAATATATGTATATATATATCTTAAATACAAAAATATCTATACAAATAATATTTTAAAATTTAGCTTCAATCTCTTTATAATAACTGAATTAACAAAGTTTTTTACTAAGTTTTTATCTAGATATATTTTTTTTTGTATCTATTGGCAGTCTCACTAGTATCTTTATTAAATCAAAGCAAATATACAAGTATATTGTAATATAATATTGTTAGACTCTTGGTTAACAAGTTACAATACTTGACTCAGTTAAAAAATATATTTTTATAATTTTATAACAGAAAATAATTTATAGATAAGACAAAGTATTGTTGACTTATTGCCAATATAACTTTAATAAAGTAAGATTATAACTATACATGCCATCGAAATAGATTTTCAAAAAATTCTATTTCGTCTTCATTAAAGCAAATTAGAATTTTTATATGCAAGAGCAAATCTAATTTAGGTAGTTATGTTTCTTATAATTTTATCTCTTCAAAAAAATTGTCAAAAAATTTTGTCTTTTAAGTAAAATAGATTAAAAACAATTTTGTCTTTAAATTTTAATTTCAGGTTTTAGATTCTAAAATAATTTTATTGGCATATTTAGTTATAACCAACAGATTTTATACTAAAGACAGATTTTTATTAACTTAAAGAATATTCAAAAGAATAATACAAATAAAAATAATATTAAAACTCAAGAAAAATATAATAATTCCAAAAAAAATATTATAATTATAACAGAAAAATAAAAAGAAAATATAATACTATAAAAAGAAGAAAATAAGAATAACTTAAGACTCAAGACAAAAATTATAAGCAAAATATCAAAAATAAAAGGTTATAATGACCAAAATATATAAACCAACTGTTTCTGT